TTGGGGCAGGTGCCGCGGACCTCTGAAGTGAATCGCGGCTCGCCTTTGGCAATGGGGGCTGCCCAATCGCGGCGCACAGCTTACGCACTTCCATCTCCCAGGGAAAAGCCAAACATACTTCACACATTGTAGCGGTGGGGTGCCGACAAACCAAAATACCTATGAGGCAATATGCCCTTATGGGGCGAAGTGTTCTTATGGGGGAAAGTGTTCTTATGGGGGAATGTGTTCTTATGGGGGAAANTGCACCATGTCCCTTCCGATTTGTGAAGTTAAGCGGCCACAGGCCTCGTCAGTACGGCGATCAGTGATGGCGCTGGAACCCGGGGTGCCGTACCCATCTCAACTTTTTTTTTTGCCAACATCTTGGGGCAGGTGCCGCGGACCTCTGAAGTGAATCGCGGCTCGCCTTTGGCAATGGGGGCTGTCCAATCGCGGCGCACAGCTTACGCACTTCCATCTCCCAGGGAAAAGCCAAACATGCCTCACACATTGTAGCGGTGGGGTGCCAACAAACAAAAATACCTATGAGGCAATATGCCCTTATGGGGCGAAATGTTCTTATGGGGGAAAGNCCGGGAACATAATATGTTCTTTTGCGGGTATGTTGGGTACGACCACACCTGGCCGAATGCACACCATATCCCGTCCGATTTGTGAAGTTAAGCGGCCACAGGCCTTGTTAGTACGGCGATCGGTTATGGCGCTGGAACCCGGGGTGCCGTACCCTCCTCAATTTTTTTTTTGCCACCATCTTGGGGTAGGTGCCGTGGACCTCCGAAGTGAACCACGGCTCGCCTTTGGCAATGAGGGCTCTCCAATCGCGGCGCCCAGCTTACGCACTTCCATCCCTTCAGGGAAGCCAAACATGCCTCACACATTGTTGTGGTGGGGTGGGCGATGGGGCGCCAACAAACCAAAATACCTGTGGGGCGAAATGTTCTTATTGGACACCATTTTTCTTTTCTGCATTTCCCATGGATTTCCTTTTCACGCCACACATGGAAGTAGGGGAACGCCTTAACGCCACCAT